AGTTTTGATCCTATATCTGCTTCTTCTGTTAACATAATGTTACAGTTTATAAATGCCATTGTTGGAGATCTAGTTTTGATCTTATATCTGCTTCTTCTGTTAACATAATGTTACAGTTTATAAATGCCATTGTTGGAGATCTAGTTTTGATCTTATATCTGCTTCTGGTAACATAATGTTACAGTTTATAAATGCCATTGTTGGAGATCTAGTTTTGATCTTATATCTGCTTCTGGTAACATAATGTTACAGTTTATAAATGCCATTGTTGGAGATCTAGTTTTGATCTTATATCTGCTTCTGACGTAACATCATCAGGTTTAATGCCTTGGGGTTAAATTCTATGGAATGACCACTGATGTGAGTAGTGCCTGAACTCTGGGAGGGATGCCATTATTTGTTTTAATATATAACGTTATACTTTGTTAACCTTTATCTAAAATTATTCCTCAAGGCATGAGTAAAGTGTTCTTTGTTTTGTGTTGCAAGTGAACAAAGATTAATTTTTACCTTGTGTTTAGTTTCTTTTCTTCAACTCATTCAAGTCAGAAATTCAGTTTTAGTTCCACCTAACATTTTCTGTTAATATGGTACTATTGTACTCACCTAACATTTTCTGTTAATGTGGTACTGTTGTACTCACCTAACAGTTTTTGTTAACGTGGTACTATTGTACTCACCTAACAGTTTCTCTTAATGTGGTACTATTGTACTCACCTAACAGTTTCTTTTAATGTGGTACTATTGTACTCACCTAACATTTTATGTTAACGTGGTACTATTGTACTCTCCTAACAGTTTCTGTTAACATGGTACTACTGTACTCTCCTAACAGTTTCTGTTAACATGGTACTACTGTACTCACCTAACAGTTTCTGTTAATGTGGTACTATTGTACTCACCTAACATTTTATGTTAACGTGGTACTATTGTACTCTCCTAACAGTTTCTGTTAACATGGTACTACTGTACTCACCTAACAGTTTCTGTTAATGTGGTACTATTGTACTCACCTAACATTTTATGCTAACGTGGTACTATTGTACTCACCTAACAGTTTCTGTTAACATGATACTATTGTACTCACCTAACAGTTTCTGTTAACGTGGTACTATTGTACTCACCTAACAGTTTCTGTTAACATGATACTATTGTACTCACCTAACAGTTTCTGTTAACGTGGTACTATTGTACTCACCTAACAGTTTCTGTTAACGTGGTACTATTGTACTCACCTAACAGTTTCTGTTAACGTGGTACTAGGAACGTTTCATATAATTGACCTCCTTTCCCTTAAAATATGACAGTAAAGTTAGTATGAAACTTTTGAAAGTATTTGTTGAGTGGAATGTTTTTTGAAAAAGAGACATCTATAAACAGCTTAATTTTTCACTATTTATATCTTGTGGGTAGTTTTTCTCATGATTTTTAACACCCAATGTATGATTCAGGGAGACACATTTGATACATTGATTCCCAAACAAAGCTTTCTGGTGCTCAGTTTTTTTTCCTTTAATTTTTGAATATAGAATTGTACTCCTTGTAATATGTCAAATCCAAATTGATTGTCCATCAGCATGGCTGAATTTGTACCACTCTGTGTGTTTTGTGAGTTCTGTCAATACAGATGTCTAAAGAAGGCTCAGTGAAGCTAACTAGCCACTGTAAGGTGGCTAAGTATGATACCTGCCTGGACATGAACACTTCTATTTTGTACAGTCCAGTCAAACTTCTAAACTCCCCCATCTTCGTGGCCAAATATTATTGAGATGTGCATTCCTTTGGCAGAAAAAATGCATTTTTTGTTTTGTTTTAGGTTAATAGGTCGAGTCCTTTATCAGAGTTTGTTTATTTTGGTTCGATTTTGAATATCAGAAACCATGACACCCTCTGTAGCCTACCCAGTCCCCTGAATTCTGTCTCACAGACTGGGTGTTAAGTATAGATGAGTATAAGACCTGTTATTATTTGGGAAACAAAGTTTTAATAAATTGGTGCCTATTTTCTTAGCTTTTTGTCTCTGTGAAACATAAACAGTTCCATAATATGTGACCAAAAAATAAACAAATAAAACATTGTCAATGAACTTATAAGTATTGCAATAGAGACAATAAAATTCCATGACAAATACCTTAATTTGTTTTCATTTGTTGTATATTGAACTTGGATAAAGTTGAAACTAATTACCTAGAAGAGACAATTGTGTACTGACAGTAAACCATACTAAGTAAGTAATCACCTTATCAGAATTTTGTAAAAGTCAATAACAAACTTGAATTTTAGTTAATTGTTGCTTTAAGTGGTTTAGATTAATTTGAAAAATAATTGAAATCTAGACAAGAGATCTAAAAACTTGTAATGACAACTTCACAACTAATTAAAATCGTAGTAGAGAGAATTTTAACGTGTGGTCTGTTATATAGATATGTATGCTGTTATTGTTGGTTTGATATTAATGTTGCTTTTATTCTGTGCAGGTGAAACGCCAGGAAATTTCGACCTCATATTAGTCAACGATAACGTAAAGAATACATACAAGTACTTAAGAGATTTCCTGATAAAGGTAAGAAGTTGTTTGTAGAAATGTTTTCTTTGTATTTTGTAATGTGTTGTGACTACTTAAAATACACATTTCAGTACAAGTCTACCCAGAGCATTCTGCAATCTGACCGAGGCCCCTCCCCTACCACGAGATGAACCTATAGGTACTGAGCACCTTACAATATGCTACTGCCCCCAATTTGAGAACCCCTGACTCAGAAAATTAATATCTGTTTAATTTACATTGAAGATTATTTTGTGTGTTAACTTGCATTCGTGCTTTCACTCTGGAAGTTGTCTTCTCTTGGAAAGTAAACAGTGCAAAGTATA